AAGTTATTTGAAATAATTGAAGAAACAATTTCTTTGACAAATTATTATTGGATATATGAATATTTAATTCGTCCTACTGAAAAGCAATTAAACGGACATTCGATAGCGTATAGAATGTTGATAAACTATATATTGTTCCACAATAGTCTGTTTATCTTGAAACCGGGTGCCAATAGGTATGTAAATCTATTATCGAGTAATTAAACCATGATTAAAATGATCGTTCAATTACACAGTAACTCATCCCTGCATTGTTAATCACAGATATTTCTAATGGATTAATGTCAATGATTATCATTGTGTAGCTATAACCACGTAAATGTAAATTAAGTGTAATTGTAACAGAAACACAATGAGCTGGAATAATGATCGAATCATTACTATGCACTTATTGTTAGTCCAATAATGAGTTACGATATTGATTGATTCCGAATCATTTCCGACTAACATCTTCGCTTGGATGTCGTCTAAACATCCGATTGTGTCTATGAAAACTTCATATATATATGTATGTATATGGATATATTGTATGTTGATAATTTTTTAAACAGAATAGCAAAGTTACTAGGTGTAATGTACATATATTTTGTTCGATGTTATCCATTCACTGTTACTACTCGTACATGTAGTTAGGAGTGCAATTGTTCAACTCAGACGTGTCGTTTCACAATTTTGTGCCAACTTCATAAAATTTTAACAAGATGTTATTTAAATGATCTTTAATCGCGTGCGCCCGGATATCGAACGCAAACGAGTTACCTGTAGATGTACATGTTTCATATTCCGAATGTAGAATGTATAAAGCTATTAGTTATTATAGATCATATCGAAACTTGTATGTGAATAAATTGTTCTTTTTTAATAAACTGGCTCGGTTACTGAATGTAAGCATTGGTTACGTAGCTACCACTACAATCTGTTCATATGTCAGTATGCTATTGTAAAACAAATTTTCTTTATTTATAGACTATTTCTTCAGTCCTGAAACCAACTGTTTAAATAAACAAATGTGTAAGTGACGAAATGCAACAGGTACAAAAGCATTTGTACATTCATTATCTTTTCAATAAATATAAATATTTACGAACGAAAATGTATAACGATAAAGATGATATTCCTCGTTAAGCTCCCTGCGGCTGAAGTTGTAAGATTAACAAATTAATGTGCAAATATAACCTCTACAGAGGCTCTCATAGAAACTGAAACTTGTGCAAATAATTTTCGTATCCACGAAGACAGTGATATGAGAAATTACGAATGTATTTGGTTTTCGTTTCATTTTATTCGTACTTTATATGAAACAATTGACTATTTATTGTGACTTAGATATACGCGGCTAGTACATACATGTAACATGTATTTCTTCTTCCTTAGTTAGACATGCCTTGTGCAAAACCGGTACATTCGTTTAAGGAACAAACCGTGTTACAATCGTTGTGAATTACACGCCGTCGAGTAACGTGAGAAAGAATTAGCTTTGCGTTAGCGGTTAACATTGGCTCTTCCTCCTGAAAACTAACAATAGCATTTCGAGAAACAGTTTCACCGATTTCGAACACAAGCCATTGAAATTACGAGTTTCCGCGGGTGACAATAGTATTACAATGTATTAAAAGATGTGCGACCATTCGACTGATAACTTTTCGCGTTTCTTTTTTTCTTTTCTTTCCGTGTCACCCATTTTCAATACGGTGCAGTTAATTACATCGTGACTTTCAACTCTGTTTCGACGAGGTTGCAGAAAAGTGGCTCGCGGAACAGTCGAGACTGTCCGCTTATCATACAAACTTTAATATCTTTAACTGCCAACGAAGTCAGACTTCGATCTTCCGCATTTCACCGTGTCCGATCATTACCAGCCTTCATAAATACAAATTACAATCGGGGGAGCGGAAAGTCAGTCTTTCTATCAGCTAGTGTAAATTAAGTCTAAAATCGTTTCGGAATAAAAAATACGCATTGGAAGCTCGTCCCGCTGGATTACTGTAAACTGATCGTTCGAAATTACGTATTCGAAGAATATGTGCCAGCGGACATTGTAATAAAATCTATCCTCATAGACAAACAAAATATTCGGTAAGAATCTGTTAAGTTCGAACGCGAACGTTCGAGGAGGAATATTTACTCGCACCGTTGAAGGTTCATAATGATCCAGCTGATTCCGCGTTAACGCGAGAATTATAACATATGTGTCCCTCTTAACAAGCATTAAAGTCTCTCAACAGAACTGCGTTACGTTGCAGCAAAACGGATAAGAGTAACACCTTATCCTTCGGCTCAAACAAGGTCCAACGAATGAAATAAGAACGACGGATTATTAAAATCCTTCACTGTTTATAGACCTCGGTCTAAAAATCCGAGTCTCATTTGCAAACGTTTTCGAAGCAATACTCGATCTCTGGATGGAAACGAGCGACGTTAAAAATTCCGTATGCACAAACCGAATTTATGATATAACGGAGAGATTACCCTTGATTAGATCCCCATCTCATGCAATGTTATTGTACAGTAGAAAAGGAACACGCGCAAAGTGTAACATCTTGTCCAAGAGAAGTGGTTGGAACGGAGGATATTATTCCTAACACGGTGTATAAATAATCGCGGCAATCGCGTTACAAAATTACGGGAATCGATGGAAACGTTCGCATCGATGGATGGTTCTTCGAGCAGGTGAACTCGATTATTCCGCTCGTCGTTTAAATTTAATCGAATGCTGTCCGAGTCGATACGTACATCAAACATTCACGTCCTAGCTCTTACTTTCGGCTTAATCTAACAATCAGTCGCGTAAACCGGAAGTCCTTCTGATACATCTTCTCCGTCGCGGAAGGCATTCTTCTTTCCACTTTCGGGCCGTGTAACAATCTTTGCTTAGTTCCGCCTTCGTAACATGCATAACTGTCTCGCATCGAACGTTTCTTACGCGGAAGAAGGGACGTCCTCGGACTTCCGGTAGAACGCGGTAACAATTAGTCGAGGAGTGCACTCGAATCGCACTCGAAGCTCGTTCGTTAAAATACAATCTGTTTCCATCCGCCGGGTCGCCCCCCCCCCCACCTTTGGTTACAATAAATTATCGCATAATTTATACAATGAACTTCGACCTCTTAACAGTACTCCGTGATATTCTGTACAAAGCCTACCTTGCTCTACTACGTATGTACAAGAACTATGTACCATAATTGTATAACTTCTTACACGTTTACTTTGGCATTTTGCATGAGAGAGGTGACGTGTGGTTCTCGCTACTTCAAATCCGTGCATCGCGTATTTTCATTCTTTTTCTTTCCTCGTCGGTTTTACTCGCTATATTTATAATTTATATGCGTGCGCGGATCGAGACGTCCGGAAGGGATCGCACGAAATCTGTCTGCCTCGGCTTGTGCGTGCTTACACCATTTTGTTTCTCTCACAATTGATCGCCGTAAGGTCATAGGAGCATCAGAAATTAGATCGTGGATTTTTCTGTATCTATAGTGGATCGAAACGTTTCAGGCTTATCGATGATAAATAAAAAAAAAAATCAACGCAGTCGGACTTCGCAGCTTTAGCGCGCATTTTTATGCTACAAGTGAAAATAAATGTTTACAATTATCGAAGAGAATCAAGATTTATAGTAATTTTATATAAAAATTGCTCGGTGTGTGTGTGTTCGATCATATAAAAAGAACAAGTTGAAATAATAATGTTGCATTCGTGTATATTTTCTATAAAGACGTATGCCCTCGTGTTCTAGGAAGATTGTCACTATTTTCGAAATGACAGACACATTTACGCCTCTCCTCGTAGACGTATCACCCGGCGTGTATCTTTATGTATATGCATACGTATGTATAATATGTACACGGTCTATTAGAGTTAGAGCTAAAACGAGTGGTATACACCGAGTGATTCGTAGTATATAATATCTCTTCTCGATTTTTTATCCGTAATTCGTATATTTATATATTTATATATATAGTTCGACTAGAGTATTGAATTCCAAGATTCGAGCCGATGTCGATCTAGGGTCGATCTTCGTTAACATTGTCGCGATCATCTGGAGGATCTCGACGCGAGTAAATTGCATTTGCCATATACTGTGACGTCAAACGCAGTTTTATCATAACGTGTCTCCCACGATCCGCGAGGATCGTTCAGAGATTTCGTTCGAATTGCTTTGGAATTCTTATTTCCCATCGGCGTCCAATGCTCGTGTTTGAACAATGTCGAGTGGAATGCAATTAACGATTCTAACTGTATTTAGTTTTATTATATTGAGCCCGGATCGACTACAGATAATTGAGAAAAGAATGTAATGACAAACGAAATTCTTCATCATATGAAAAATATCATTTACTGTTTTCCTAGAAAGAATGAATGTTACAGAAAGTCCACGTATTCATTGGTCTGACAAACTGATAATGATAATTACGGTTGTATCTGCGTTCGAGTGCGACAATTTAGAGACAACCTGTTGCCAGCGCTATGGATACGCTTCATAATTATCGATTCTATGACTATCAAGGCTCCGTTAGGATTGATCACTCCGGTTATCTGATTGTTTAAGCGTTTAGTAGCGCGTTCTTCCATATATATATACACTAAACCTACCGCTGCTGGTTTCTGATCATTTTTTTATCTTACAATTATTCATCAAACTATGAAGGTACTTTAACTCTGCGCCGATAATATGGTTTATCGCTAACGTGATCTGCCTTTTCTCATTTCCGGCCTGATTTCCTATTATTTTAGACATACAAAGGTCTGAAAAATTCCGATATATTCGTGAAAGTTTCTAATTTAATAGTTAAATAAATACAATGCTGTCATTTTGATGCCAGACAACGCCGATTGGTTTAGTGCTCCGTAGGTTTAGCGCGAAGAAAACACGAGCATCAACGTTTTACTTAAACGTAGTACACATATGTACATATGCAAAACAATCCCTGGGTTAGTTCGTGTAGTTTGTTTCTCATAGAGCAGGAACGTTTACGGGAACAATGCATGGAGTTCGTTCACTTAATAACCGGCCGCGTAGATAAGAAATATCGTGGTGAGTGCTGGAATCAGTGTTCGTTGAGGTCCACTTCCGGTCGAGGAACTGAGCACATGATTCGGTGCTGGTGACGGTGCGCTTTTGTGGGTGTTTGCGATTACCGATTGGCTCCTCCATTTTATCGTGTAAGCGGGCGCCGTTCTTCCCAAAGCTTGTAATCTGCAAACAAACGACGATCCCATCAGTATCGTGCTATGCTCTTCACTGAAAACACCGAGAAGGTAGCTAAATGTCGCATTATTTTCAGAATAGAGTATTCTCTCTATAACTACAAAAAAGATCTGTACCATAACTGACAAAATTATATATATATATATATATATATGTAATGTATAATATGTAATATATAATATAATATAATATAATATATATATTATATATTATATTAATTAATTTATAATATATAAATTATAATATATAATATATATATATTATATATTATATTATATTATATATTACATATTATACATTACATATATATATATATATATAATTTTGTCAGTTATGGTACAGATCTTTATATATATATAATACATATAATCATACACACATTCGAAAATTTACTTTTGAGTCACCGAAACGTCGCACGTCGACAAATTTTGAACGTCTGACCTTTTACTGACTTGTGCTACTTGATAGTTTCTGAAATTTCGCAAATTTCGTGAGTAGTACGAGTCAATGAAAAGTCAGACGTCCAACGTTTTTGACGAAACACGCATTTCGAAGTTTGTAATGTTTCTAGCTTCAGATTTTAAAAAGTCTAACATTATTATTGAAAATACTCATTAAAATTTTTTAAATATGAATAAATATTATTATAAGCTCAGATTTCTGAAATATTGGTTTCTGAGCTTCTGAAGCTCCATTTTTGAGTTACAAAATAATTCATTGGATGTCAAGTTTGCTTCTATATCTTGACTGTGATTCAGATTCTGATACAGATGGCGGCACTATGAAAAACTCATAAAAATCTACATTTAACGCCATCATGCGCAGTAGCATAACACTGAAGCTTGCAGATAAAATTACCTACAATTAATTTTGGCTAATAATTTGAGCGTTTTGCTACTGCGTGTTCTGGCGTTATTTCCATATTTGCAGAAGCAGATGATCCTTGCCGGATTTATCATTGTACCTTATGGGAATAGTGGTAAGAATCATCTGAACTCTTTATGTGCTACAATAAACAAACTTTCTTTGTATGATACAGATTCAGGAGGGTTTCCTGTATATTTCTGTACCCTAAAAATAGTTGTTGTCTCCTGCATTGTCAGATTTCATTCAATAGAATGAAATTTAATTAAATTTTCAACTTCAACAATGTTTTCTGCCATAACTTATGATCTGATAAGAAAACAAGATCTTATAAGAAGAATTATTTGTAGCTGCAACGAAAATACTCTACTCCTGAATTGTTAGATAATGCTATGGATCAGATCTGATCATAAGTTATGGCAGAAAAAATTGTTGAAGTTGAAAATGTAACTATCATCTATAAAAATCTCTTTCTTGTACACGGTAGAGATTGTCGAAGTTTTATATCTTGTAGCGATTTCAAAACATTTTCACAGTACTTTCGAGTGTAATAAAATAGACTAATTATTCTCGAGGCACGGTGTTTTTTTTTTGTTTACTTTCCTCGAAGTTCATTTATCCACTTTCCTCGAAGTACCTTGTCTTAATTTTCATTAAAATCACCGCCGCCACTTTTCTGAGCGAATGTAGCAGTACAATTTAATTACAACCGCATCGTAAACTCCTGAAATAATTAAAGCAAACCAGTTTTCATGTTCATAACTTCTCGTCACTACATCTCGAACTATATTTCATTAAAAACATCTCGTAAACGCCTCCGGCAGCTCGCGTAAACACGATCCAGTGTAGCGATACGAAACGTGCAAAACGTAATATCTGCGTAATAATTCTACATAGTTTCGGTCCGAATAAATCATATTTTCGGGCAATTAATTATTTAGTCGAATTCTAACTTTATAGAGCGGTGCAGTTTGTGCAGAGCAGTGAAGTGCTGCAAGTCGTCTTCTCTGCTGAAATTTTGATGTGGGATAGAAGCTAATATTTCACTATAGTTGCGAGAAAAAGTGAGCTTATCTCCTTGGTATTTTTTAAACTTTTTCAGTTTCGATGTCGAAAATTTACAAATTATGTTTAAAAATGTTGCACCAAATTTTCGATATCGAAACTGAAAAAGTTTAAAAAATACCAAGGAAATAAAGTCACCTTTTCTCGCAACTATAGTGTGAAATATTAGCTTCTATCCCACATCGAGTTACAACTCGAACGATATTATTTATCAATATATAAGTCGGTAACAAAAATTAATTTTGAGTTTAGAATGCAGGGATCTGATATTTATAAAATGTTCAAATGCATGCTGCGTGATGAATTTTCACCAACCGTCGGAAAACTCACCTAAGCACCACACTGTTTGTTTTCCATGGGAGGGTGAAAGTTTTGTGGGTGTCCCGCGAGCAGAATGTGTGTAATCTGGGTCCTGCCGGGTCTCCAGTTTTGTTGTATTCGTGTATCGTCAGGTTCCAGGCGGTGCAGGGACCTGTGGAAAACAGAAAAAAAGGAAACAGAGTAAATTCAGTGAACCGCGCGAATGGTTTGCATTTCTCGCGAGGGAAACCAGTGTCTGAAGAACTCGACGGCATAATTTAATGTGCCTCCCCAAGAGTGAAAAAGTTGTACTAAATATCGAGGCGTTACGTTTTCATGCGCCCCAAGGAGACGTTCTCTTCTGCGCTGTAAGAAAGTGAGATTCGCATAACATTTTTTGTTCCGATGAGATTAGTAAAACCGATTATTATACTTAAAAGCTTTTCGTTGTTCCTTCAACACTTTGGAAATATACTTTTTATTTCTTCTTTATAATTACACAGCCGGACAGGTTAATTGTTCTCTTGGCTGCGGGTTTACGAACAGTTTTGATAATCAGTGAAATTTGCAAGCCAAATAACAAATGTTACTATATCTCGTGAACGATGAAATTGGAATTTTGAAGAAATTTTCAATTATTGTAAAATTTGTCACTCGCAATCCAAATGGCAGCAACTGATATTCGCGAAAGTTGCTGTCAATTAAGGATAATTACGAACAAAGAAACAAATGCGGTTGGTAAATACAAGTCGGACGTGCTAATAATCCAACCGGAATCAATTAACTGGCCTCGATGATTGCAGAGATATTGACAATCGAGTCAAACTTTTTGGTGCGTCAAATGTTGCATCCGCGACAATTAATTGCGAAACGAGCTCCCTTAATGGGTGTTCGGCAATACGCGTGCGTTTTATTCTTGACTCTGAACGACGCGATGCATGGAAGAGCGAATTCTCGATAATCGATAACGATTCGGCGGATTCATTTCAATATTTCATGTGTTAATTCAATGCTGTTGAAATTTGACATTGACCGATCGTTCTTTGTGTTTCACAATTAAATATTCGTCATTTCCGTCATTTATAAGGCTTCTATCGAATTCAGTATTTGACGAGAACGGAAATAGCAAAACAAGCGATTTTGTATGAGAAATATATGGTGAAATTAAATTCACCTGGTTTCTGTGGGTTCGATGCTTTTTCTCTATTGACAGGAATTTTTCAAAACTGAAATCGCGAATAACAAACGTGCTGTACACGCGCTGCAGTCATTCTGCATCGATCGTACGAACAGTATGGCTATGATCGCGACGATTGTAAAAAAAAACTTACATCCAGGAGTGAATTTGAAATTTTTTGAAGGAGTGATATTAATCTTCGCCGAAGTTACATTGTTGATGGTATATTCACTGGTATATTCACTTAAATTTAAGAAATTTTAAATTTAAAAAATGTCCTACATTTAAATATCGTATTATTTGTTAATTTAGTATTGATCAGTTCGTGTAACAGTGAATATACCATCAACAATGTAACTTCGGCGAAGATAAATATCACCCCTTCAAAAAATTTCAAGTTCACTCCTGGATTGTTCGTTAATATTAGGTCGTGTCGTAAATAATTTACGATGCAGTTAAATAGAATCTATTGTTCGTCACCGGGACAAACAAGTGTTTGCTTTCATTGAATAAATAAGGGTTCGAAATGAATGAAATAAGAAAGAACGAAATAAATACATAAAGAAGGAAAACAAAATAAATGTCCGATGGGAAAAGACGGAAGTTATTTATGACTCGACCTAATGAGTACGTCGAGTTTGAAATTACAGTAGCGAATATCCTTCTTTGAGAAAATGCCCGAAGGCGGTCTTGCAATCGAACTGGGAAGATCTTAAACCGGTTAAGCGGTCTCAGGAAAGTCAAACGAGACAAAAGGACAACAGCGGTTTCCGAGACTCGATTTCGATTCGAGTTGAGAGTTAAAACGAAACTGTTCGGCCTGCAAAGGGCTGAAACGCATCACGAGGAGATGTTGGAGCGACTATTCGGTAAGAAGTGGAGCAAGAGAAGTGGAAACGGTGCCGCCAAAACGGAAACGGAGATCGACTTGGTGTGTGAAAGCCATTTTCTGGAGGTTGGTCGACCACAGCTTTCGGTTCCCGTCTTTGGACGCTTGTTGATTCGCGATGAGAATCCGACGCGCAGAGCGGAAAGTCTAAGAAAGACGCGGGAGGACGGAAGAGAGAGGAAGAGAGAGAGAGAGAGAGAGAGAGAGAGAGAGAGAAAGAGGAAATCAAGAGGAAAGGTAGGCTGACGGGACTAGTTCGCGTTGTCCTGGCAAATCCGATGGTCCCTTTAATCTCGAGTCCTGCTTCGTTTTCGAGGCAACGGCTTAGAGAGCCAGTTTCTCCTTTCTTCGGGCATTCTGTTTACCTCCCCTTTTCTTTGGTCAGTCCGCCCCCGCGACCATGCTCAATGGCGCGGTCGGAATTCCGTGGAAGAGCGTAATCGAACGGAATCCAACGGCCCTGGCCCGGCCAAGACAAAGAGCTCCGTTCCGAGAAACAGTCGACTTTGCTTCCTCTTTCGAATTAAGGATGAGAAAGAGGAAGTTTCCTCGGCAGGGTCGCGATTGAGGGATTTCTTCGGCTCGTTAAATATTATTTTGTGCTTCTTTTATTTAGCTTGAACTTTGCTTAATTACGGAGTCTCTTCCGAGCGAAATGGCTCGTGAATTATTCGCGATATCGTTAAGCGTTGCAAGTAGTTCGCGAATTAAGGTTTCCAGCCCGGGATTCTTCAGAGACTTCTCGCTGCGAAAAAAGTTTACTATTCCTTCTTGTTTGGCAATTCTCTTTCCGGGGGCTTATAGAGGGATTGCGGAGAACGCGACGGCGGTCAAAGGAGGTTTAGCTACGATTATTCTACAAATATGTATTAACTACTCGTTCTTATTCGCGAGCATTTTTTCCCCTCAGATACACGCTCGTTCGCCGACGGAACAACGGACGAACCTTTAGCCGGCGTAACCGCGAAAGATTAAAGTCGTAACTTTCGGCGCCGTTAATCTCATTCTTAATCATAAAACATTCAACGCAGTGGCGATTGCCAAGTTCTACAGCCGGAAAAATTCGAAGGCGTTCTTCGTTAACAATTTATGTACCAGATGTCCATCAATAGGCTTTTTAATGATCGAGATATGCCTAAGAGAAGCTCGATCATTATTTCAAAAGAAGTTGTTCGCTTGTATTAATTCAAACAATGTTCTAGATTATGACTGAAATTATCAACGCTTTTGAACAATTTTTTAAGAAATATTTCATTGCTTATCTTCGTCTTCGAAAGAACTATTAGAAAACTGCCGGTAAATAAATAAATGTTCTAACTGATACTGGATAATTATATTCTGCAACAATACTGAACAATTGTATCTGTGCTCTTTATTGTCATAATATCGTTATGTTATTGCTGTATATGGTTGACAAGAGTCTCTAATAATTTCAACGATTTCAAAATAAAAAAGAATGCGAGATCGGACTTCTCGACACGGTTGTTAATATATACATAGAGAATTAGTGGAAGGAATACTCACGGCTCTGCGTAGATTTCACTTCGATAGTCAGCTGTCGATCCGTCAACGACTTCAAGATCCACGTGCACCTCTGGTGATAATACTGATTGAGCTTTAATCCGGTGCTGGCTAGGTCACCGCCGTTCACGACCTCGCCTTCCGGCATGCTCGTCATGTGATAGCCGCAGTAAGTGTCGTTGATAAACTCGTAAGCCGCACGGAAATTGAGGCCTGCCTCCGAGAACCTCGACCACTCGATGTACACCGGTATCCAGCTGCGAATGCCGACAGGCAGCCAGTCCTGCACAATAGATTCCAGATAAGGGTAACATCCGTCAGGTTTATCAAATAGTTTTTACGATCCCCTTACGAACAAGCTAAGCCTCTTAAAAACACGTAAACTCTATTTGTCACTGAATCACGACGTTCCCTTTCTAGTCACTCACTATTAGTTTCCAATATATTTTTCGAACGTAGAGTCACATTTTCCAAGAGGAATTTAAAGAAACAATAAAATTTCTTCTGCTGCAAGTACGCGCGCTACAAGTTTTGACGGATTTTTGAACGTAGAAAAATAAATAGGTCAAGTAAAAGTCATTAAAAGACGTGACAAGAATTTGGAAGCATTGTCGTTAAGGGGGTCTTCTGGTCTAGAGAGTTATTTTCCTCACTTAGCGAATTTTCTTCATTAACCCTTAAATTCATGATTTTTTGTTTCGAATTTTAAAAAATCGTTTTTTATAGGAATGTAGTCATAGGTTACGTAAAAAATAAATAAAAAAATCTAGGTAATAATATCGAGTATTTAATTTGAAAAAAGTTGTATGTAGACTTTTGGCAACAATATGCGTTTATTACTAAAATTATTGGCATATATCCAATAAAATTTTCAAATGCAACATCAAATGAAGTAATTTTTTTTTCAATTAGATAAATCACTCCTTTATAGGAAACTCGAAAAAAGAAAATATCTCTTACTTACTTACTTACTTACTCGCCAAAAGTAATGTCAAGTCTTTTCTTTCACACATGGTCTATTGTCTATTGTTATCAACGTGTGTTCGGAAACGCACATACTCAGGTTTTTGAATAAAATTAAGTGGAACTGGAATGTAGACAATTTTGGCAACAATATGCATTTAAGGGCGAAACCAGTGAATTGTACGGTTACATCAGTTTCTACATATATTTGCAATGTTTGTGCATGAACAAATTATCTTTTACTCTTGAAACATTGAACTATAGAACTATACCATCCACCGATGTAATTCTTCTGAGAAAGTAATGAAGATAACCTTCGGGACCAGAAGACACCCTTAAAAAGTAAACTTCGTGTAATTTCGGTTTCTACATTTCTACATTTCAACGAGTTCTACGTTCATCAGTAATTCACCGAGTAATTCGTCCTTGCGAAGAACAAGGCGAAGCTCGAGAAGCACGATTTTTATTTATTGTTAAATTAAGTGTGCAGCATGTTTACCGAACATTTTCATTAGAAGCAGTTCACGGATAATGGAAGGCAAGCGGAGAGCTCGGGGTCGTTATTTTTTCCGTAAAATTACCTGCATCGATGGGAAATTTCGCGTTGCAAGCCGTGAAGAAAGTTTCCGGAGCCCGAAGTTGAAGAAGCAATTTGAAGTTGATCGCGAATCCGGCGTCGAAACAAAGAAAGCAGGCGAAAGCATGTGGGATTTTCAGGGCGCGCGCGGACAGGACGGAGAGGCTTATTCCGGAAGAGAGAATAGATGACTGGGAAAGTTTCGATTAGGGCAAGATTCGAGGAAAGTTAATTTCATCAGCCGGGGCCGATCGGAACATATTTCACCCCCTACGGGGAAGCGTTTCGTAAATTGCTGGACGCGAGATCTCTTTTTCTCTTTATCCCCCCCCTGGCACCACCCCGCGCCCCGTCTCGTATCGAACGTAAAAACAATTTCTCCGTTTTCCAGCACTTCTTGTTCCGGACTTTCACTGTGCTCGTGCATTATTTGTTTTATTCGCAAAACGGTGAAATCGCTCGAAGTAATTCCAGCTCGGACTGATGGAATAGGTGTTGAATAGAACGAGAGAGCATTCAGTGTCCGGCCAATACAATCGGCGAGTGCCGCATTTGTCCGTGAATGAAACTTGAATGAAACGGTGGCAGTCGGACGTGAGCGGCAGAAATAAAAGAGGAAAAGAGAACGGCGGCGTCGGGGGTAGTGCTTGCCGAGCGTTTTTCGGATTAAACGATCCCGGTCAATGATGCGACACCCCGCCGATCTCCGCCGCGCCGCGTCGTCATTCAACGGCGCTGCAGCAACAATCCTTGTTCCGTGCATTAGCTTCGAAAGAGTCCCGAAGAATCGGCTTATAACTGCCAATTCGTATCGACGCTTTGCATTCCCATTGCTTTTATAAAACCCGCGAATTCATACGCCGATAACGCCCTGACGACGGAAATTGTTCCCGCGGAATTCAAACACAAAGCAATCGCCGTTTGTTTCTGTAACGCTTCTCGAACGATTTTATAAGCTCGCGCGTTCTGTTATCCTACACGGTATTTCGCGAGTCCGATATATCTAAAAGATATAACTACTTATCGAAGCAGATGGAAATTTGTTGAATCGAATATTTCTATCATAAATCAGATTTAGCTTTTATTTGTTTGATGTGTCTGCAGTGCGATTACGCTGTTCCGTGGTAGTACTATTGGCAGAAACTAGAATGTTGGAAAAATTGATCTTTTTGTAATATAAGTACCGGTGTTCCAAAGGAAATTTGGGAATCTTATTCATTCTTTTACTGTACTAATTATTGTACTCTAGTTAAATTTACGCGAAACTGCAGTGTAAATATATTCGGCAAAATGAAATAACCGAACTGAAATAACACTAGATATAATAATATTATAAATATTAAGATATTATAATATTATAAAATCTATCAATATCTTGCTGATTAAATATATTACAGACAATATAGATATTTAAAAATACATGAACTATTTATATACTATTTTTAATAAATGATATTTTTTAATTTTTAATACTTCCTTTTTTTTTCTTAAAATCAATGATGATTGATTTTTTAATAAAAATTGTCTACGATTCATCAACTTATTTCTTTCTTTAATAATTCTAGTAGATAGAAAGATATGCTTGAACTCTCTTACTGACTCTTCTCTTTGAAATTACAGCTATCCATGTTTATCACAACTGCATAAAATCCGCAGTCCAATTGTAATAGAAATTATACGAAGTTAGACTAAATCCACTCTTGTCATTGTTATAAAGAAAAATATATGTTAATCGCGCTTAGGCCTTGATATTTCTATTGTTAAATACGAATTCGGGATTTTGTGAACGTTTCGAAAGGTCTCCATTATTTAAGAAATTGAATAAACGTGTCAAAATTAAATACATCCGATTTTAATTTCAATAAACTTAAATTAATACGTTAATTGAACTGTAGCATATAGGATTACGTATTTATCAGAAAAAACATTGCGATTCAAATTCTCTATATAAAAAAACAATTATGCAATTTGAAACAGTACCAACACCAAGTATTAGAGAACTTTAAGCGACATCTCGGAAGTGAAAAAATGTAATAATGATCTCTCTCGCAGCCACAGAATTGTTTCCTACATTATCTAGAAACGTGGCGTTTGCTTCATCATCAGATAATGCCCGGTGCTTGTCTGAACAAGAGTTCCACGTGTCTGACAAACTATAGACCCATATCACTTGTTCGAGCAGAAACACTTCACTCTACGTGTCCGAGAATGCTACGAATTCCACTCGTTCGTTTTCGGAGACCAGGCGCACACTTCGACAGTCTAATCGAGTTTTCAATTTCCGTGTAAACTTTCAAAATAGTCGTGTGGATTTGAAAAGATCACCATTATCCGGGATTTCCGCTCACCTGATAATTTCCACAGAAACAGGTGACGATATGACCTGTTTCAGAGACGAGCAGAAGGTGGTCCATGTTCTCTAGGGACTCGCTGCTGACGCAGTGACAGCCGCTGTCCCCGCACTTGGTTTCGCAAGGGTTGTTTGGCCTCCGCTCCGAGCTGCTCTCCACCTTCAAACGAACCAGCCACCGTTTAGTGATCTACGGTACAGGTTCGCTTACGGAGGAAATTCTAGAATCCTTGACGACGCGGAGACTTCTAGAATCCTTGACGACGCGGAGACCTCTAGAATCCTTTTATCACATTTTTTTTGCGACAATTTGATACGCTTCTTATTAACTGAAATCGTACGTAGCGAGACCATACAGGTCTCATACTTTTAATCATATTGTTGAAATTTTAGCCTCGAACAAAAATTAATCTATAGTTTACTTAGTACTAAGATACTAAGATATCGGTTTACATTTTCGTCGGTTCCGTCAGCGGGCAACGACGGTGATGTAAACTGTATATAGTAGATACCGCGATACATCATCACCGGTACCATTAGATATACTACTGTGATCAAAAAGTAAGGTGAAATTGTCATTTAAAACTCCCAGACATTAGGAAGACAGGCAATTGTTTTTTTCCTAGGTTGGTAGGACTGTCTATAACAATTGCCAAGCGTCTGTTTGTTAAAAGGTTTAATTATCTCCGAGTTACACGTGTTTTAGTAAACGACCAAAAGTGAATTTTTCGATTTTTACAATGGGTGATTTTGTTGAGCAAAGAACTTGCATCAAATTTTGTTTGCGGAACGAATATTCTTGTGCGGACACGTTGAAAATGTTGCGGAAGGCCTTTGGTGATCAAACTATGGCACAAAAAACGTTTATAAGTGGTACAACGAGTTCAAAGCGGGCCGAGAACGCGTTGAAGACGAACCGCGCTCTGGACGACCATCAACGTCTACCGACGAGGGCCACGTCCAAAAAAATCGAAGATTTGGTGCTTGAAAATCGTCGACTGACAATGAGAGACCTCGCTGATAGTGTTGGAATATCATTTGGCTCAGTCCAAACCATTTTGAAGGATGTTTTGTGTCTCAAACGCGTCAAGTCTCGATTGGTGCCATGTCATACTGCATTGGTTCTTCGCGACTTTTTTGCCAAAAACTCGACTCATATCGTTCCGCAACCACCGTATTCGCCTGATTTGGCACCGTGCGATTTCTGGCTATTCAACAAACTCAAAAGGCCAATGCGGGGGCGCCGTTTTGACACGATTGAGGAGATAAAAACCGAATCGAAGAAGGTCTTGAAGGCTATACCGGAAAAAGACTATTCCGACTGTTTCGAGGACTGGAAAAAGCGTTGGAAACAGTGCGTTTTATCGGGCGGGGATTACTTTGGAGGAGATGAAATTGATTTGGAAGAATAAATAAAGAATTTACATTTTATAAACAAATTCACCTTACTTTTTGATCACAGTAGTACATCGTACCCTGACTGTTTGGGGGTCCCAGCGTCACGTATACAATGTGAAACGCGACAAATAAAACGTCTCTGATTGGTGGACAAGACGAACCCAAAAAGGGTATAAAAGAAGCGTTTTTTCTTACCGGACTCTCAGTAGAGTTTGGTCGCTCGATCTTTTCGCCCATATACCTTCTCTCAATAAAGGAATAAAATGGTCTTTTTAAGAAAAGAATTAGAATCATATTCATTTCCATTCCATAATCCCAATACATATTAATCCGCCCAATGCGGATGTATTGCTACAAATTGCTCAAACGTATGTGTCCTTCAATGTTTAAACCTCCAAGAATTGCTTGAGAGTACGAAATTGTAAGTTTTCAAAGTTGATTGCTCAAAGATTGCTCAAAACTAAGTATATTAATTTTTCAAAAAATTGATCAGTCCTCAAAGATTGCTGAAAAGTAAACGCTGAAATTTTTGACGATAAAAATTACTCAAACGCCTAATACCTAATATTTCTATACGCGAACGAATTTCTATTACGAATTTACAATTAATTTGGATCAATTTCTCTGTATCGTGCTTGATACTTAACGTTGCAACGCGCAAAATAATTTTGTACATTACGAATTTACAACGAATTTCAATCAATTTTTCTCTATTCATAGTCGTCGCGAAGCGAAGATCTCATCCATTCTTCGTGTCAATTCGTTGCACGTTAATCGACGAACAACGCGAATTAGTTTCTCGAAAAGGATAAGCCGACGAGAGAAAACAAAAAGAATTGTAAAACTGCGAGACGGACAATGGTTAAAAATTCGTGTTCAGCTTGCATCCGGCATATTTTAATTCACCATTCGACGAAATTATTTGCAGCGTTCAAGAGCCGATCGAATTGTCTCTGATACGGTGTAATTGCGAGATGCGTATCCGATATAAATCAGAGGGACGCGCACTAATAGCAATAAAGCAATAATAGCAATAATAGCAATAAAGTCGAACGCCGAGTTCGATGTAGAACCGGAAAAGAATTAATAGACACCGGCAAGTACTTTTTGGTCTGCGTGCCGTGCCAGGCTGGCTAAGTATAGATCGGAGGACTTACGCGGATGATGACCGACTGATTAGGCTCCGGGATGAAGTGCTGCCTGCATTTTACTGGCCCCTTCATGGCGGGTAATCGGTGAGGCTCCGGATGCACTACGGAACCGTTCACTGGTGAGGACAATCCGTAATATTCGACGTCGCACACTCTGGTCGGCTGTTGAGTGCCGCCCTCGCGTTCTGAAATATCGACATCGACGACGTCAGTGCGATTGAAATCGTAGTCGTCGGAAGGATTAAAACTATTTCCCGATAGCTGACGTCTGAACGAAGGGATGGATAATATAAAACCAATAGAACAACGCGTGCAACGCGAGTCCGGCAGACTTCAAATATCTTATTTCCGTCGATCGGCGATCGGAGCCGACTAATCTATTCAAAAGTAGAGAAAGCACGGCCGAAACCGGGCGCACGGTTAAAACCGGGGGACAACCGCCATTGTCATCGATGCATTGTTGTCATTTGATGCTAAGAAATTCTCAATCAATTCGAAACTCTACGATCGCTGAGATTATTTAGGTGAATAATTTTCGGTTCATCAGAAAAAATGAAAGGTTCAACGAACGAGAAACGATCGCTTCGGATAGAGCCCTTAGCGGTTTCCCATGGCGAACAGATATTTTTCCTATGCTCGTCAGCGTAATTAGCGACGCAATGTCGGCTACGCGAACTCGTACCACTGAAAGCTCGACGACACGCGTTGTTACCAGCCGACCAAAATTTCAAGCGCGCTACGAGGAACAAGTAAACGCGAGCGTCAACAGTAGAACCGTTTCGCTATGCGAAAACGCGTTTAATAAATGGCGAAGTTCGGCAGAGTCGCCATTCGCTGACACGGGGAACGGGAAAAACCACCGTGCAGAACCGGACTTGATTAATATTGCAGAGGGGTTCATAGTATCTAGTTAAGGAATAATTGACTTCAGTTAATTCAAGGATCAAAAGCGTCCAAAGCGAATGGGATTGAAACATGATTGCTCGCGCACGAATTATACACATGCTGCAATAAAAAGATGCGATAGAGCTCGAGGAACTAGAATAAAATTTGCGAACATTGCAGGCTATTTCCGTCCGCGTTTTTTAAATAATTAATATTATATTAATATTTCTAAATGCGAAACTTTCAAAATTCTCTTTTTGGGCTGTGTAATAGGTCAGCTCACAAGTTCGCGCGGTTTTAATTCCGAGTTGAATTTTCCGCATAAATAATTGCGTAACAGTTATGTCTGATACGTCATTCGAGATGGCCTTGGTTTATAGATTGTTTACTTATTAACGTCCACGCGAGTAATATAAAGCGATTAATTTCTCTGAAAACGAGATGGAGCGTCGAGTTAACAAGAATGAACATTTACGATTGAATAGCAACCGTTTCCGCGCAATCGTGCTCTAAGATCTATTTTCGCTTTGAACCACGATCTCCCTTATCTGCCGCCTTTCAAAGTAAAGTCCGCTGAATGAAATGTCTTTTGTTTGTTATCGCTTGAAAAGTTGCGTCTACGTTGATGTTTGGGTCTCTAGAGGCCGAACCATTATCAAGCGAGTATTACGGGTCGCTGTTATACTCTTTTCTCAAACCTTTTTCCTCGCCTGCTTCTTTTCATTTTGTTTCAGGCGCGCTGGTCCAACTTTGCACGGCGGGGCACGGGCGTTTAACGACGCACGAGCTTCGCGGAAATGTTTCGAACAACTTCGTATATTATCTGTGGTTTCTTTCGCTTTTCACAACAGGACTCGGCACAATTTAACTGTTTGCCCAGTAGTTGGGAAACGAAACGGGTTTTTAATTACGAAGCGAAATGCTCGTCGGTGGTCTGTAACATAATTTTGCGCTTTAATGAAACGGCCGGGAATGCTGCACGGTTAAAACATCGTGCAACGGGCTTTGTTTCTTACACACGCGCGGTACAATGTTGCATCGTAGTGCTCGCGGTTCGACGAAGAGTAGAATCAATGTTGTATTTTGTTGAAATTTTAGCCTCGAACAAAAATTAATCTATAGTTTACTTAGTACTAAGATACTAAGATATCGGTTTACATTTTCGTCGGTTCCATCAGCGGGCAACGACGGTGATGTAAACTGTATATAGTAGATACCGCGATACATCATCACCGGTACCATTAGATATACATCGTACCCTGACTGTTTGGGGGTCCCAGCGTCACGTATACAATGTGAAACGCGACAAATAAAACGTCTCTGATTGGTGGACAAGACGAACCCAAAAAGGGTATAAAAGAAGCGTTTTTTCTTGCCGGACTCTTAGTAGAGTTTGGTCGCTCGATCGTTTTCGCCCATATACCTTCTCTCAACAAAGGAATAAAATAAAGTCTTTTTAAGAAAAGAATTAGAATCATATTCATTTCCATTCCATAATCCCAATATATTTAATAAATCTTCACAGACAATTTGGCGACGAAGCGTTGTTCCGGCGGTCGCGGTTTCGATTCAAAATAAATAAAATTGTGTACGCTGCAAATAGAATTCACGGTTGAAAAACGCCGATCTTCGGTCGTTCAACGACAACACACAATACATAACAATTTAACAGAATCGCACCGATGTCATTAATTAATTAATTTCGAATTGCACCGATGACAGTGTTGTAAATACGAACACAAAAATATTTAGCGAACCTATATTTATTTAAAATTAATTTTCAATTTTATGTAATATTGGTCGTATTGACATAACCGTATTCAAGAAATTATATTATTTAAATAATTACGTGTTTCGCTAAATGCATTGTAACGAATCAACTAGTAATAACAAAAAAGAAGAAACAAAAACGTTACGTAAAACGTGCTATTATTATTATACAAATTAGATGAACCTATCATCATCATTGTATTAAAATTATCGGAAGGCTCCCTCTATGTCTGTTTTGTAGTTGCAAATAATAAACAAAAAAAAATGCAAACAACGAGTGTTTGTACACACGTAGAAATTGCATCTGAGTTCGCAGCAAGCTGTAGAACAGATGAAAAATAGATGCTGTTAAACTAGCAAAAAACGATAGGGGAAAAGTAATTGGAAGATACGACGAACGATCTTTTCGTTTTTGCCCGAGATCTAGGCCTTAAAACCAAATCCCGTTTCACGGGAAAATTACCTCGAATGTATTCGCAGAGGATTGATCGTCTGTTAAACCTTCCTTCGATCCTCACCTGCGCGAAATTTTGCGATTCAATTATTCTGCCCCAGCCCAGGACACCTTCTATGCAAGCTGTGCACATTGTGACGCGGAACTCGCAGTTCTTTAATTGGTTTGGTGAAATATATCCCGACTGTAATACGCAGCCGGTAAAATCGCGCGTGATATAGAAATCCGTGCGCTAGAAACACGCTGGCCTGAAAGTTGCGAAAACTGGTGTACGTTGAACTGCTCGGCTCGGCGGCCATTACTTTGCGCGGAACACAGGCCAATTTCTAGTGAATAATGCCGGACAGCCACGTTCCCGTGTTGCAGTCCCTTGCAATTTTATTTCTCGCGAATGGGCGTCAACGACGCATCATGGATCTTGCCAGCGTTAGACACATTTTTTAATGAGCCTATCTCGGGCTACTTTTATCCACCAAGTCAGACTGGTCGAACGCATTCACCGGTTATCCTGAATATCATTTTTATGCGACAATTTCATTCCATGTCTGACTGGACTTCGTTGCTTTAAACATCGCGCAAAAATGTTATGAAAATTTGAAGAAGCACATAATATGATAACGATTTTTCAGAGGCTTCGGAATTTTATACAACGTAAAAATTGTATTAATTGCAAGACACGGAGACTATATTCTAATGAGTACGTACTTTATTCAACGGAAGCCTATTGAAAGAACTTTCAATTATTCTGCTATAGTAAGAGGAATCTTCGAATTCTTTTTCTACATGACAATCTCAAACGAAATAATTAGTTTATGTTATTGGTGATGAGAGACTTGTTGGTATACAACTGAAATTGCTATCCTCATGGTTCAATTTATTAGAGAGAACCTAATCTAAATAATAGAGTCTCAAATATTATGTAATCGTATTATATATATTATATCATATTATGTATATGTATAACGTATTAAAATTAATACAACGTTATCTTTAAATTCTTGAAATATTTTTCCCATCTCCAATTTGACGTATTTCAATTTAAGATCGTAAATAGAAGAAAAAGTATTTTAAATCTTCGTTAATACGATAGAACATCGATTATCCGAATCCAAAATTGATAGTTAATTTCGTTTTAATTTAGATAAATTATTAATACAATATTATAAAATGACAGATCGTCTTCTAATAATCAAAAATTTAAATAACTCGTATTCCGCTATGAAAATCGAATTGCCCAATAAATTCACTGCATAACTCGGAGTGATAGAATAATAGTTATTGCAGCCGCTATATATATATATATATATATATATATATATATATATATAGAAAGGTAAAAATATATCTATAATTTACAGAGAAAATTAAGAACAAACTGTGCGCGTTTAATTTTTCCGGTGAACTGGAGTTATATTCTGCAATGGTATCCACAAGAGGTCGGGATATATCAAACAGCACGTAATACATTTTTATCGATACAGAGCGATACTGTACTCTCATAATTATGTTAACGCCCGGAAGGAGATGATTCCTGAGGTTATTTGAAGTAACTTTAGAGTAGTAATTATTGGGTAAATCACAAACATTTATAAAGCTTAATTTAACGAGATGAAATTATCTCTTTAGTAGTAAAACATGCGCTCAGACTTTTGGATAATAAATATCGAATATTTTTTAATTGTATTCTAAAAGAAACCATTTCTGTGAAAAATATTTTGACACATTGTGCTATAGATTTCAACTTTATAATTGATACTCCCACAAAATATTGATTATATTTCGACAAAATATACTTTTATCGAATGTTTGAACAATACCTGATATTTTATGGCCTTTAGCTATACCTATACTCGCGGACAAAAGTTAAGAAACTTCACATATGGCTAGCATTTGAGTAAAATTTGATATTTTAACAAATATACGTCTTATTAAATTAAAAGTACATATTTATAGTGCAATATCGTTTTATTCAGTGCATGCGACAAATAAAAGAGACAATAAAAATGAAAAGAAGATAAAAAGAAATAAAAGAAAATAAGAAAATAAAATAAAAATAAAGAATTATAAGAAATTATA